TGGGGGTGGGTGGGGGTGGGGGTGGGGGTAGGGGTGGGGGTGGGGGTGGGGGTAGTAGTCGTCGTCGTCGTTGGCGTCGTAGTTGTAGTGGTAATGGTGGTAGTGGCGGTACTGAGTGCCGTCGTGGATCGGTGTAGTTGTAGTAATCGTCGTAGTGATTGTCGTAGTCGTCGTCGTGTCCCTCCTCCTCGTCCTCCCCATCGTCGTGGTTCATGGTAGTCAGGGGTGGCTGGTGGCCGTGGAAGTGGTTGTCCTTGTGCTCCTGGCAGTGGCGGTGGCAGTGGCGGCGGCAGTGGAAGTGGCAGTGGCGGCAGAAACAGCGGTAGAGAAGGGACCTCTCTTCGGGACAAATCTTCCAGCTCTCAACAGTACAGGAAATCCCCAGGAACCAACAGCATAGGAAGGCCTCCCTGCAAGTACCAGAAGCAAAGTATAGCAAAGTCTTGTCAGCCTTCTTCTTCTTGGACTTCTTTTTTTTCTTGTCGTCGCCACCCTTCTCCTGCCGACCCAGAGCCGAGGTAAGTTTGAATACAGGCCACCAGCGTCGTTTTGACGAGCTACACCTTCTGTCCGACGCAATAAAGCTAATTCCAGAAAACCTACAAAACCACAATTTAGGAGAAACACAGGAAAAATAGGAATTCCAGGTTTGCAGTGAATACGAAAAATAGGGGAAATAGGAAAATGGGAGTAACATAGGCATAAAATAGAGAAGAAATAGGAGAAAAATAAGAATAACACAGGCAAACAATAGGAATAGAATAGGGATAAACTGAGGAAAAATAGGAATAACATCGGGAAACCATAGGAAATGCAGGGAAAATGCCAGGGATAATATGAAAAGCGCAGGCCCACAGGGTAGAAAGGAGCGAGCCGGGTCCCTATTTTTCTCCTATTTCTCTCCTATTTTGTTCCTATTTCCGAAAAACCCAGGATTCCTACGTTTGTCTTTCTGTTCATCCTATCTTGGGCCCTTTGCGATCTGACTAGAGTTCGCAAAAGGGTCGGACATAAAGCACAGACTCGGCACAAGGAGGCCACCATCCCCAAGGGTCTCCTCAGACGACTCTATCGACTCAAGCCTTTGAACCATCGTCTGAAGGCAGGTGCCAGGAAGGGGGAAGGGGGAGAGGTTACTAAGTATGATCTCGTGCACTCCCAGCTCCTTCTCGATGGCATCCATGGCAGCTTGCCTGCGAAACAGCCAACGCGAAGTCTTGCGATGCACATCATCACTTTCATCTACGGGCCAACCCAGGCTCGAAATCCGGCCTTGCTGCCTTCTTCTTTGCCCTCCAGGCTGCCTTCTCGGCATCAACCTGCTCGAACTTTCATGGAGTACTAGAAACCCTCCGCGTTCGTACGTTCTTGTCGCCGGGGTAGTTGCGGCAAAAACTGCAGTTGTCGCTCTTGAGAAACACCATGCCAAACCCCCGAGCCTCATCATCGTCGCCAGAGCCCTTCGAAAGCACGCCAGACTAAATTGTTGCGACACCGCAAGTATCTCATCCCCGCCTTTTTCGGCAGCGCGGCCACGCAGCCACTGCTCAAATCGCTCTGGCTGGTCCACTGCGTTAAGCAAGTCATGGTATCGCCATGATAGTACCTCAACTCTGACTCATCTCGCAGTCTGGCATGTTGTGGTGCTAGTCGCCGGTGCCGGTAGGGTGTCTCCTCACATAAGTGGTACCCAATGCGAGTTCTTCAGAAACAAGGCAAAGCTGGCTTGTTAAACAAAAAATCATGAAGCAGTGAACTCTGACTCATCGCGATCCGGTACGTGGCTGTCTCGCTAAACTGACCCAACCAAGAGTTGAAGTACATATTAACGACTGCTGCTGCCAAAGCCACATTCCTTGGCAGAACTGCTCAATCTCGCTGTCGCAGGCTTTGTTCACCTCAACGAAATCCTGCCAAGCAATCATTCTCTGGGTCTTATCGCTGGACAAGGTACTTGCCAATTGTAATTCGCCCTAATGCTACCTCCCGTGCACCCCAATATCCTGAACTGCAGATCAAGTCTCCTTGCAACTAGTGGACAACTCCAGGGGCTTCTCCTCAGGTGCAGTTGACGAGCTGCCAAAGTCCAGTTCTGTGCACATCCTCGTACAAAGAAATCCTGCGACAGCAAAGTGTTGAAGTAAACGGTGTGGGATATCCTCGGCACTGAAAGTTCAGACCAAGATGCACCAGGTTCAAGCTCCCGTGGGTTGCCGTCAATGTCCGTCAACTGTCGCGGATCCAGTTTAGGGCGTAAGGAACCAGAAACTTTCGGCAAAATGCCAACTAATTCGGATAACGATGATGATAATGATAATGAGAACGAATGGAAATGACAACGACAATAATTAGTCATGATACTGACAAAGGCACTGACAATGATAGTGATAATGGTAGTGACATGTAGTGACAGTGATCATAATCCATTGATTAGAAGAAGACTAAGACGAAGAATAGCAATAAAAAGAACAACATAATCAACATACTGAAAAGCGTACGATTCACCAGTAGTAACAGAGTCCGAACTACATTACGTCATCGTTGTCATGGTCATTGCTCCCTAACCCTAAACCCTCATTCACTCTCATAATCCAGCCTGGTGCTTCGCTGGGTCGAGGAGGCACTCCCCGATCTCCTGCATCCCGCAAAGAAAACACATCGACCTAGGGGTTCAGGGGTTTAGAGTTTAGAGGAATCAGCAGACCTGGCTAAGAGTGAGCGCGAATATAAAGAAAAAGACATGCATCATGGAATATATGGTATGCAGCAGTATGCATCGTGTCAAAAACAAGTTCGGGTACACACGTGCGTGTAGACTCATGAGGGCTTGTCTGAGGCCCGTGTCGGTTCATGGCACCATACTGTACAATGTCGGGCTGACCTTTTTCGGCATGGCATGAGATTGAAACGAACCCGCCATTCTTCAGAAGGTGTCGTGGGGAGAAGCTTCGTGAGAAAAAGATGAAGCTGCACCGCTGCCACCAGGCTGCTTAAGCCTCAAAACTACATAAGTGTGCACGTACTACTATGACTCTATGACTATATGCCTTGCATGAAGTGCGGAGTAGACTGCATGGAGGCAGGCATCGGAAGACGAATCATGGACAGCAGTGATGCAGAAATCGATGCACTCCTCCTCTGATGAGACGTTCAATGGATGCTTTCCACGCCAGTACACCCAACGGCAAAATTGCAAAAGGCAACTTCCAAAGACCGATCTCTGTCGATGCGTGACGTCCTTCCCAATGCTCATTGGGCAGACCCGACCGGCTTCATCATCGCATGGCGATAGCGCCTTGAGAAGACGGTGTTGCGAGCAAGAGATCATTATCCGAGATGGAGTCTGGAAGAGCAGCTCCAACATCCACAACAGAAACAAGCCCATGTGCACACCAGCTTCACCGAAACATAACGGTTGCAAACCGCTCGACTGGCGCATGTGCTGTGGAAACTGGCCAGATTCCACAATGCAGTTCAAGGTGCTACCGAAACAGCCCTCCAATCCCTTCCCGAAACCCACCAACACCCCCAAACCTCCCAAAAGAGCACAAACAATGAAGCGAGCTCCCGGTGCAAACGAGGGAGGCGCCTCGCTGCTCAGCACGGCACAGAGGGCCAGCAGCCAGCGGCCCATCTCGCCTGCAGTGGGGTTGTAGGACCCGCCCATAGCAGTAGGAGCAGTAGAAGCACGTCAGGTCTCCTTGGGCCGCTATACCTGTACGCTAGTCACCATCCGCTGCAATCGGATGAGCTACGAACATGCGCATCATTGGGGTTCGGGCATGCATGCTCCCCTGTCACCTTTATGCCTATGTAGGCCAGCTTGGCAAGAGACCCCGCAACCACAACTACAGGGACTGACTATGACGCTGTAGAAAACTTAGAACTGTGAAGTAATCATCATCGTCGTAGTAGTAGTAGTCGTCGTCGTCGTCGTAGTAGTAGTAGTAGTAGCAGGAGGAGGAGGTGGTGGTAAGATATTTTGCCATAGGAGGGGTAGGAGTGATGATGAGGGGTCCACAACAGGATGGATCGCACGAAGTGCCAGGGTGCCTACGGTGCTGAGCAAAGACACCTCTGCTGCGTCTGGAAGAAAGTAGTAGGTAAGAGGTAGCAGGTAGGAGGCAGGCGGCAGGAGGTGGCGTCGGAGGAGCAGCAGGAATAGCAGTCGGTAGTACAATCCGTAGCAGTAGGAGTGAGAGCAGCAGAAGAAGCCGTGGCAGCACTAGTAGTGGTCGTGGTCTTCGTCGTCGCAGCAGCAGCAGCAGCAGCAGCAGCAGCAGCAGCAGCAGGCAGCAGGCAGCAGCCAGCAGCCAGCAGGCAGCAG